TTTAAGTCTCAAACACCTAGGAATTTACAGTCCTCTAGTTTGAAGGACCCCAAGTGGCAAGTGATTCAGTGCTCAGATGCTAAGCAAAAGGTTGGCAGTTCAAACCCACCTGCTGCTCTGTGGGAGAAAGATTAAGCAATCTGCTTCATAAAGATTAGAGCTCTGGTGGTATAGTGCCTAAGGCATCTGACTGCTAACCAGAAGGCTGGTGGTGGTTCAAACCCATCAGCCACTCCTCCGAAGGAAGACTGGGCAATCTACTTCCGTAGAGATACTGCCTTAGAAACCTAAAGAGGGGTCGCTATGAGTCAGAACTGGCTTGATGGCAGTGAATGTGGTTTGGCTTTTTGGTTTTCCATAAAGAGTAACAGCCTTGGAAATCTATGGAGTAGTTCTACCCTAACCTATAGGGTCACTATGAGTAGGAATAGATCCCATGGCAACAGGTTTGGGTTTTGGCTGTGTTTGTTTATTTTTTTAGTTTGAGGATAATAAAAAATGGCATGCAAATATGTCAACAGGATTATTCAGAAGAGTCAGTCACATCATAGGGTTAATAAAGATTGAATTTGATTTCCTAACCCTTCTAAATATATACAGCATAATCATAATGAATATTTCTAAATGAAAGCTTCAGGCATCACAAGAACGTAAATGAATAAACATGTTTAGAACATTCTGACTACTAAGAATTGTGTCCTATGCCAATATTGAATTCTACCTAAATCCTGTGATACTGGAAAACATCAGTGGTTCAAGAAATCCCCCCAATCCTTTGTGTTCAGGAAAACAGCTCAGTGCAAATAACCACCCTTCCCATATGACTTACATAAAATTCATAGATAATCCCTTGTTTACCTATGACTAGACCAGACACAGGCCCTCCAAATTCCCATTTCTTGTCTCAGAAATGAATAACTGAATTGCTTATCCCACTGATCAATTAGAAACAAAGTACATTAACTAAACTTTGGTTAAGCTTCTCTCCTTCCCCTAAATCCCTGAATTATGGCCCATTTTTACTCAGCTTCCAGGAGAATAGGCTGGCCTCAGCATGAAACAGACTGATAGACTATCTGATGATGTCACCTGCCCACCTCCCACACCTGGTTTTTGTCTAGCCTTGTTTACTGAGAGCCTCTGTAAAAGAAAAATCTTTTTCCCTCTAATACTTTCACACTGTTAGATCTTATGGTCAGAGTGTTCTCCCTTATACAGTAGGGAGAACTTTCCCTCTCCTCTTTTCTTTTCTGAATAAAGTGTCTCTCCAAAGTTTGGATTTGTTTTTCATTTGACAGTTATTTCTTTGAAAAAGTCATAGTCTATATGCATGACATAGAGGGTATTTTTAGTTAACCAAAATAATCCTTGAATCAGAGAGGAAATTACTTATTATTTTGTAACATAAAGACTGTAGTTGATTTTTTGATGAAATATTTCAAACATACAGAAAACAGAATATAGCAAATCTATGAACTCAAATCGTCCAGATTTAATAAATATCAACATTTGACATATTTCAGATTTTTAAAGAAGCATTATAAACCATACATAGGCTTTTTCAGTTCCTGATTTAACCTTCTCAGAAACCTCATATCCCCTCTTGATTTTATTCAAAGTATCCCAGTCTTCTCTACCCAAGTTCTCCACTCCTTCCCCTCAAAGACCTATCTTTCTCTATTATTTCACAGATAAATATCTTGAAGAATCTATACTTCCAATTTCAAATTCATATCCTCTTACTTATTCTCCAACCTACTAAAACTCAGTTTCTGTCCACAGACTCCTATTCAAATCCAAAATCTCATAAACCCTAAGCTACTTTTCAGACTTCATACTATTTGACTTCATAGCAACTTCTGACTGAGGCTCACATGACTGGTAGTCATCCAACCTGAAGGTTCTCAGAATTGCAAATTATCATCTTTGGACAATAAGGATCTATTGTTCTAACTGTACAGGTTGACAGGCTTGGGTGGGGAGTGGGGAGTGGCCTAAGTGGAAGAAATCTGTGAGCTCATACCTAAAGGAAAGGAAAGAGAGGCAGAAGGAAGATTCACTTTCAACTACAACTTCATCAGAGAAGGACAGAATTATATACCATGAAACAAGGCTATAAACACTGAAGACTGCAAAGTCATGAAAAGTATATATGCTTTCTATTCTATTCTTTCCTATCCTACCCTGTCCTACCCTACCCTATCCTATTCTATCCCATCTCATCCCATCCCTTCCCACTCTGTCTTATCCTATCCCATCTTATCCAATTCACACTAACAAAAAGTTTAAAGGCTATACATTAAAATGTTAGTGATGATGAAATCTCCGAATATTAAGATTTGGATTGTTTTTATTTTTTTCTTTTTAACAATGTATACTTTATAAAGTTTTCTACAGTGACATGGAATTTTTTTAATAAGAAAAAGGTGGTATCTTTTTTAAGCCAAATGTCTGCATGCCTATCTTTCAGGGTAACAAAGAAGGGTGTTGCCAGGGAGATGCAGCTCCTTGGAATACATGTGAGGAGAAAACCTCCAGGGAGTGAGTGGGTGTTGGCAGCTTGAAAAAAAAGCAGGCTGAGTCCATGGGATCCAGTCTTAGAAGAGAAGCCACCAGTATTGCCTGAGATTGAACCAAAGAAAGGCCCTAACACTCTTCCTAGACTTTACCAAACTCACTGCCGTCAATTCAACTCATAGCCTCCTTAGGTTTCCAAAGTGGTATCTCTATGGAAGTACATTGTTGAATCTTCCTTCCGAGGAGTGACTGGTAGATTTGAATTGCGAGCCTTCTGGTTAGTCGTCAAATGCCTTAGGCACTATGCCACCAGAGCTCCCCCTAGACCTTCCAGAGATCATTAAGTCTTTTTACTCTCCCTTCAAATTATCACTGGGATCTCACTATTCCTCTTTATCTCCACACTACCACTATTACACAAACCACCCAAGTGGTGTCCCAATGACTAGTCTGCTGACTTCCAATCTATCCTCCACATGGTTAACTAGTGTTAAACACAGTGAGTATTTTAAAATATTGCAGTATTCCCCACTGACCCCAGGGTACGCTAAACTCTGCAAATGGATACCACAATCTGCTTACCTATAGCAGCTCAACTTCCCAGCAGACACTGGGCTCCAGTTAGCTTTGACACCGTTAGTTCCTTAAATACCCCATACCCTGGATTTGTGCGTCTGCACATGCTCTTCCTTCTGCCTAGAATATGTTTCCCTACCCTTATCCATCTGACAAGCACTTACTCTCCCTTTATGTCTAGTTCAAATGAATAATCCTCTGCAAAGCACTCCTGGGCAACTGGCTGCTCCCTCTGCTACGCTCTTTAAATTTTGTATATAACTTACAGCACAGTTTTGGTTACCTCCGTGCCGCTCTTACAAGAATATACCACACAGGGGATGGCCTTAAAAGGAGTTTATTCTCACCATTTGGAGGCTTTAAGTCTGAGTTCAAAGTGCCAAGCTCTAGGGACTAAGTGAAAGCCCCTCAACCTTGAGCTTCAGCTCTGCCTCCTGCTCCCAACCCACTAAAGCTGGAGGCTTGTCTTCACTCAGCTGCTGACTGCTGAGGCTGACAAGCCCAAGGTTGACAAGCCCAAGGTTGACAAGTAATAAGGCACAGTTCTGATATTACCAAACCACACAGCAGGCCATTAATTCAAGTCCATTAAACGTCCCAAGATCGGCATAGCATAGCAGGCTACTGAAAAACGACTCGGCTACATGCAGGGTTCAAGGTGCCATAAGCTAGAAACCATTCCCAAAGCTGTTTCTTATATATGTGGGAAGCAGACGACATACCCAAAGCAGCTACTCAGCTGCTCACAGTAGATTCCACCATGGAGTTGATCACCTGTCTCATTATGGGGAATACTACATCCAGCTGCCCAGCCACTCAACCAGGCCTAACCAAGATAACACACAAACTTAACTACCACAAGCACTCATTTTGTTCTTGGGTTTACTGTTAAATACCTATCTACTCCACTAAGCCATAGGATATATGTGTGTGTGTGTGTATATATATATATTTTCAGATTAGTGCCTAACATGCAGTACCAAACCAAAAAAAGCAAACTCACTGCTGTCAAGTCAGATCAGACCCATCCTTGGGTTTCCGAGGCGGTATCTCTATGGAAGTAGATTGCCCAATCTTCCCTCCAAGGAGTGGCTAGTGGGTTTGAACCACAAGTACTCAATAAATATTTGATGAATTAATTAACATTAGGCCAGGTATAAATAAAATACCATGTAAGTATTTGTCTTTACTACATGTTTTTATAAATATCTCAGAAAGACAGTTTAGGAGATGAAAAATCGTGACTAAACCACACTGGTGCTCTCTGAGTAGAAACCCAAAAAAACCAAACCCACTGCTGCGGAGTCAATTCCGACTCACAGTGACCCTATAGGACAGAATAGAACTGTCCCACTGGGTTTCCAAGGCTATGAACCTTTACAGAGGCAGATTGCAGCATGTTTCTCCTGTGGAACAGCTGGTGAGTTCAAACCACTGACCTTCTGGTTAGCAGCCAAACTCTTTAACCACTGAACCACCAGGGTTCTTCTCTCTGAATGAAGTCAATTCCAAATTTAAGGTATTATAAAGACAAATATACACTGGGAAAATGGTAAGATTTCTGCCATCTTTATAGCTAAGAACACAGGATTTACCTATATAAAATTTGGAATTACCATGTGAAGTAGCAATTTGAGGATGACATATCATGGAGGGGTTTTTGTTTTTTCTTTCCCACAGTGCTAGTGAAGGGGGGGTGGAGATGGGGCTGCAAAATATTTGTTAAAAGGCAAAAGTAACTATAATTGGATCTTCTCTTCAAAATCAAACCAGTAAGAATGGTTGATAATCAGAGAAGATGGAAACTTAAAGATCAACTGCAAGAAAACAGAATCTGCATGTAACTCTCTCACTTCTGTATATTTTAACTTCTATCAGTGCCTGCCTATTCCCTAAAGTAAATTTACCTGAGCTAAAGTAGGGATTGAATTTTGACCAGTCTGAGTCTGCATATGAGCAGATTCGCACTCTGCCACAGAATCTGTTACACTTCCATCCTGCTGAGATTCAATTGTTTCCATGGTCATTTGTCTGAAAAGACAATAAAAAGGAAGAAGTATTAAGGCCCTATCTGAAATATTTCCCTGTTTTTATCCAGTGTTCTGATACTCATTGCTAATATCCAATTGTACCATCTTATTTTCTCAAGAAAGTTTCAGTAGCAAAGTCTAAGTCTACAAACTCAAGGCATCTTCTTGCCATGGGAAATCTTTTATCAGAATAGCTTACTTTAAAACAACTTAAAAAAATCTTATATAAAAAATTTCCTTGATAATTATTTTAAGCCTCTTCTCTTAGTTATCTAGTGCTAGTATACCCCAAGTAGATGGCTTTAACAAACAGAAATTTATTTTCTCACAGTTTAGGAGGCTAGAAATCTGAATTCAGAGTGCTGGGTCTAAGGGAAGGCTTTCTCCCTCTGCTGGTTCTGGAGGAAGGTCTTTTCCTCTTCAGCTTCCGCTTCCTGGTTCCTTGGAGATCTCCAGTCATCTTGGCATTTATTTTACCCTATTTCTGCTCTGCTCACTTGTTTAATCTCTTCTATAACTCAAAAGAGATTGAGTCAAGATAAAACCTACACTAATCCTGCCTAATCAACACAACAAAGACAGTTCATTCCCAAGTGGGATTATAATCACTGACATAGATGTTAGGATTTACAACATATTAAAAAAAAAAAAAAAAAAAAAAAACTCACTGCCATCGAGTCGGCTCCAACTCATAGCAACCCCTTCCTTGGGTTTGAACCGCCAGCCTCCTGGTTAGCAGTCAAGTGCCAAATGTACAATCCAAAACACCTTTTCTTAGTATGAATGAGTGATAAAATTAGGTTTTCTGTTTACATTCAAGTATTCTGTAATTCTCAAGGCCTAAAATTATGTAATATGAAAGACTTTCTCCACTTATAAATTAAATGCATTATAATATAAATATGTGTCTAGCTTTATTAGCACCAAGTAGTATCTGACTAAAAGCCCAAACAAATTTCATCACTCAAAGTTGATCACTTCTCTTATAGATCCCTAATTACTTAATGAAAACCAAAAAACCAAACCCACTGCCATTGAGTCAACTCAGATTCACAGCAACCCCCACTGGGTTTCTGAGGTGGTAAATCTTTATGGAAGTAGATTGCTCAGTCTTGCTTCCATGGAGTGGCTGGTGGGTTTGAACCACCAACCTTCTGGTTAGTAGTCAGATGCCTTAGGCATTGCGCTACCAGAGCTCCAATTATTTAGTGAGGAGAATCTAAATTTTCCAGGAAAAGTTTTGACATGATTTTATAGTTTCCCTGTGGATTCAGTTTAAGTTGATAACGTCTATGTAGAGTCCTTCTGGACAGAAGGCAAACCAGATTATATTAAATATTATCCTACTAGGAGAAAATATAAAATTGAAACAAAATTTAAAATTTAAAACTTACTTATAGGAACTATTCCTTTTTCTTGTGTATTTTTTCACTCACCAATAACAAAACTCTTTTTTTAAAAAATTTTAGTCATCTAAAACAAAACAAAACAGTTACCACAGAGTCAATTCCATTTCACAGCAACCCCACGTGTGTCAAAACTAGAACTGTGCCCAGCAGGGTTTCTAACAGTTGATTTTCCAGTGTTAGATCACCAGGCCTTTTTTCCAAGGTGCCTCTGGGTAGACTCAACTGCCAACCTTTCAATTAACAGTTGAGTGCATTAACTGTCTGTACCACACTAGGACTCCTTAGTATTCTAAATAAATATCCAAAAGTATGCAGGCCACTTAAAATTTTGGGGTAAAAATGTCCAAATCTTCGTCCTGATTTAGTTACCAGATCCTACAGATCCTCCTCCTAATACCTTTCACTTAGTACTTTCTTTTGCATTTCAATAGCCATCACCTAAATCTGAGCCTTTCATTCTCAGTACATGTTTGCTACCATCTACCACACATCTGGGAGCTCTGGTAGTGTAGTGCCTAAGGCATTTGACTGTTAACCAGAAGAACCTTCCTTGGAAGGAAGGTTGGGCAACCTGCTTCTCTAGTGATACTGCCTTGGAAACCCAAGGAGAGGTCCCTATGAGTTGGATCTGACTCAACAGCAGTGAGTTTGGTTTGGGTTTTTTACCACACATCTAATGGTTATTTCTCACTTTTCAAACTATAACTAGACAACTTAGAGCAATTATACCAAAATAAAAATGTCTAGCCTACCATAAAAAAAATGTCCTTCCCTCAAAATCCCCTAATTCTCTCTCTTTTCTTATTACTTCCCAACATGACCTCTCCAATTCTAGGTAAGTTAAAAGTTTAGGTCATCACCTTGCATAATTGCTAATTTCTACTTCTCCACTTAGGCTTATATGAGCAGTTCCCAAAGAGAATACCTCAGAATATTAATTCTACAGGATATTAAAAGGTATTATACTTGGGAAAAGAGGGAAGGAGGACCATATGGTCAAAAATTTTAAATATCCTGGACTTAAAAGGTTTCTTTTTGTAGAATGACTAGGAAGCCTGAATATGCTAGTGTGCCTAGAAGAGGGTGGAGGGTACAGATTTTACATGCAGATTTGAAAAACATAACTATCAAACCCGTTTTCCACAAAGCATGTCCTAGCACTACTGTTTTAAAAGCAACTTGAGAAATGCTGTCTTGGGATATTTCTTGCACCTTTTATTAAAACTCTCAAGGTTCTACCAAGATCTTATGTCTCAACCCAAACATTATAAGCTGAAAAGGCATTACCCAATAAACTCTATTATTTTTTAAACATTCATTTAAAACCACCTATATGACAGAGCCTAAAAATAGAAAAATGGATAAATTACGGTCCTTGCCCTGAAGGAAATTATTAACTAGTTGAGTTTCTCAAGTATGGTGCTTGGGTGGCTTGTATCAGAATTAATCAAAGTACTTACTTAAAAATGTAGATCGCCAAGCTCAACTTCAAACCTACTGAATCAAACTCTCTGGAGGAATTACACTTTTTAATAGGTATATTTAAGTGATTTCAACGTATAGTAACATTTGGAAACCACTCAGCTTATCATATAGTCCAGAAAAGAACACAATTAGCCATAAAGTAACTTCTTCAATAAGTGAAGGATGCTAAATATGAAATGCTTTGGGAAACCTATGAGGGACTGATTTAAATTGGCCTGAGGGTGGGACCATATGAGTTGAAGGATGACAGGATTTTAACATGTAGAAAAAGAAAGGACTAAGGAGGAGGAAAGGACAGAGGATGCTGAAAGAATCAAAGAGTTGAAAGGAGGACAGAACCTGGCTGAGCAGCTGGAGAGTCTATTTAGATTAGTAAGAAGGAAGAATAGAAGGACGGGTAGAAGTCAAGCTGGAAAAGCTAGGTGTAGCCAGTTTAGGAATACCTTTTAATAGTCCAAAAAGAAATAAATTTCTACCTCACTCAGGTCCTTCTTCTACTTCAGGTCCTTCAGTATCTATGAAGTTAATTATGAACTGTATAAAGTTTAATTTAGTATCAACATGGAATTCAGCCAAGAACTCAGACAATAAGCAAAAGTTACCTGTTTTAATAGGCAAAACAAATGCCCCAAAGTCTTTAAGTGACAGTTTCTAAAACAAAGGACTCCTCCTGATCCATACTTTAAACACATTTCTTTTTGTTTCAAACACAATTCTCATTCATCCAGTTTCTAAATATACTGGACATAAGAAGTGACAGCTGTCAATGAGGACATCAAGAATTCCAAGTGTGTGGCAATTGAATCCATACAGAGTAAAGTTACCTACTTCTTTACGTATCAAGAATTTGAAAGATTTGTTACAATTCACCAACTGATATTCACAATAACTATACCCTGGGTCAGGAGCTCTGGTAGCATAGTGCCTAAGGCATTTGACTGCTAACCAGAAGGCTGGTGGTTCAATCCCACCAGCCACTCCTCGAACGAACGGAAGGTTGGGCAATCTACTTCCATAGAGATACTGCCTTGGCAACCCAAGGAGGGGTTGCTATGAGTCAGTTCTGATTCCATAGCAGTGAGTTTGATTTGGTATACACTGAGTCATTAAAAAAAAGGTTAATTCTGCTTAGCATACTTTAAGGAAAGATGAGTATACATAGAAGAATCCAGGAAGACTGCCATTAAAAAAACTTTTAATGTTTTAAAAGGTAAACATTATTCAAGACTTATGTTTTAAGATATAATAGAAGATTTTAGAAGTTCTAGACTTTCTGGAGCCTCTGAGGCTGGATGAACTCCCGAAACTATTGCCCTGAGATAATCTTTAAATGTTAAACCTTAACCAAAACTATGGCCTTAAGTCCTTTTTTAACCAAAAAAAAACCATCTTATCTTAATCTGTGTTAAGTATTGTGCTCTTTTAAAGATTTATCTTTGTGAGACCAAACAGAGGGTGGCAGTCAGTTGAAGATAAAGGTGGTGGTGGTTGTTGTTGTTGTTATGTGCCTGTCAGTTAAACCCGACTCATAGCGACCCCTCCTTGGGTTTCCGAGGCAGTATCACTACAGAAGTAGGATTGCCCAACCTTCCTTCCGAGGAGTGGTGGAGTAATTTGGAAAAGGACAGCAGCAAAGGTAGCACCACCTGAAGAATGTCAGCAATGTCAGTCACTGAATTATCATATAGGAAAGGCTGAAATGTACCTTTGGCTATGGATACTTTCACCAAAATAAAAAATTTTTAAAAAGATTTTAGAAGTTACTATAGACTACAAAATGTTTTATACATGAAGTATTTTTATAAACATTATCTCATGTGGTTCCTCTTTTCTCCTGGGTATTTTCCAGTGTTCAATCCTTACTCTCTTCGTTTTTTCAATCTACATACTATAACTTGTTTGAGCTTATATGTGGATGGCTCCCAAGTCTGTATTTACAACTCCCTTCTACTGAGCATCTCAATCTGAAGTTTTCACAGGCACCTGTCTCTTCCTTTATATTCCTTCTTTCAGCTGAGAGCATCACCATCTACTCAAGTTCCAAAGTCAGAATCATGCATCTATTTCAGTTAGAACCAGATCAAAAAAACCCAAAAAACCCAC